GAACTTGGCCGGAAAGGCTAAACCGAAGAAATTCGGGGAAAAGAAATTAATCGCTCTTAAGCTGATAATCAAGAGTCGCGAGTTGCGGATGAACTGAACGCCTATTGTCAAAGGACAATAAGACCTCGCTTCCCCGCACCCCCCAGGCGACGAACTACTCGGTCCACCCGTGATACCTGTGGAGCACGGGGAAGGGGGCGACGACAGCTCAACCGTTTCGCTCGTCAGTTTATATTTTGAAATATACATATAAATCGTCTCGGACACCCTTATTTCAATTTCCCTCACCAAACTTACCCCCCACAACCTGAAACCCAGCTCAAGTAAACAACTCTTCCTCCTGATCGAGCACAGACGTTACGTTCATCATCCAACATTCCAGAACTCCTCTCTTTCCATACTCGCACCCTTCTCCGCTCGCATATCTTACACTACAAACCCTAAACCTTTTATCTACTATCTTACCTCTATTTAATATTATACGAAAATACAAAATACATAAAATATATAAGATATATAAAAAATACTCTTCTGATAATATTTTTCCTTTAAAAATATATAAAAAACAATATAGAAAATAAACTTATTTACTAACATCTGAAACAGTCTTATACGCTCTAAATTGAGTTCATACTTTAACAGTCTTTTACTTCTAATACTGTTATACCTCTTATTTACTACTATTTTACCCGCACACGCACTTAAACCTATCCTTATTTCTATCTTACAATCTATTCCCAATTCCCCTCTCATACCGCAATACCCCTTCTTATTGTCCCTCTTTTTTTCTCCTTCTTTTTTTCCTTTTCCTATTGTACTCATCACATCCCTATGTCTCTCCTTAAGCTTATTGCGAAACGCTTCTTCCATTTTTCCTAAATCCCCCCTTCCAACTTCCACCAACACTTCTACCCCTCTTGCCACTACAACTTCATCCTTATCTTTATTCACAACACAATTTAACATGTCTCCTCTTCTGCACCTTCCATCTTCTTCTCCTTGTCCTCCTCTTCCTTCTTCTTGTCTTCATCTCTTATCACCTCTTCCTTTAGTTCTCCTACCTCTTTTTCTTCTCCATCCTCTGACATCTTTCGCCCTTGCTCATTCACCTTCCCTTGCAGATCGTCCCTCTTTTCTCTTGGCCTCCTCCAGCTTTCCCTGAGCATGACCTCCTCTATCTGTTCCTCCTCCTTCCTTTTTCTTAACTCCTCCCTCTCTCTTTCTGCTCTTCTCCGTAGTCTTTCTCTTGTCCTTGGATCAACTTCTATCTCAAAAGGGGGCGTAGTCACCGCATTCCAGTCTTCTTCATGGTCTGGTCTTACCGTTCTTCTCTATCTATATTTAATCGTCCTTACAATCTCGTGGAACTTCCCTTCAAGATTCTTTTCCCTCAGCATCTTCATAAATTCCTCCAGGATTTCATCCTCCTTCCTCTTCTCTAGCTCCGCCAACCATTCCCTATTCATCTGTTTCCCTCTCCTTGCTCTCCTCCTTTCCTTCTCCATCTCATCCTTGTTTAATGCCCACTCTAACCTTTCACAATCACAATCGCCCTCCGGCTCCTCTCCCACCATATACCGATCACGTGGAATCCTCCTCATAATCTGTATCTTACCCTCCCTTTTCAATTCCTCCGTCTTCTCCTTGCATTCTAGGCATATGAACCTATTCCCCATTATAATACCATCCACCTTCTCATTCAAACAGGCAGGCTTAAATCCTCTTTTAACCTGTCTCCAACCTTCTTCTTCTTTTCTTTCCTCCCCCTTATCCACACTTACTCCACTCACCTCCTGTCCCCAGTCTTCTTCCGCTTCTTCTCTCTGTTCTTCACCATTTCTTCTCATGACTTCGCTGTAGGTAGCCTTCTTTCCTTCCTCTCTTCCCATTCCTCCATTCCTGTCACCATATCTCTCCTGTTTT